TATTTCTTTAATCCTGACTGGAAATTACTTGCATAACTCCACACACATGGCCTTAGGTTTGAAAATATGCCTTCGTTCTAACTGCCTAAGTCAAACAACAATGTTACAATGGCACTTGAAAGCTATTCAGCCAAAGGCCAAGCATTCACCTTCAAAGAGCTACAGTTTTTCCTAAAAAGTTATTTACTACCTAACAGACAGAGTTTGCAGTGGAGGTCTTAAACCACAGAAAAGGAATGAGCTTGCTGATTGGTGCAGTCAAGCAATCAAGTCCATGACAGAGTGAAGCATGTTCTCATGTCACATATCAGGTATAGCATCATGGTGCCGCCAATGGCTGCCTTGGTAGTGCGCTCTCTCGTGTGTTCGTTGCTTTTCCTTGTTTTCTTGGGCTTCTACTAAACATCAGACAGGTCACTCTGAACACCTTTTCTCCGATTTTTGCTAATGCAAAAAGCTGTGTGGACAATCTGGTTGGAAGGGCAGCAGCCCTCTGTGGGACTTGGAAAAAAACACTGGTGAGGAAAGACGGCGGTGGGCCCTGGTTAAGTTACAACAGAGAAGGACCCGGATGCTGCTCCCTTCTATCCATCTAGTTACGAAGGCCTTTGAGAGACTGGTGTTGGTCCACCTGAAGGACATCAAAGATCCCGGCTGGAACCCCTGCCGTTTACCTACCGGGCAAAGGGGTCAGTGGATGATGCAGGCAACATGGTGCCACATTACATCCTACAACACCTTGTCTCACCAGAGCCCTATTCTTGCCCTGTTTGTGAACTTCAGCTCAGCGTTCGACGCAATCATCAGGGACATCCTTTACTCCAAACTGACCCAGCTCACTGTGCCTGCCCCCACCTGTCAGTGGCAGAAGGTGGGGAAAATCACATTCAGCACCCAGTCTATCAGCACAGGTACCCCCCAGGGATGTGTGCTCTCCCCACTGCTGTTTTTACTCTACATTAACTCCTCGAGTTCACAGATGACACAAACGGTCATCGGCCTCATGAGTCATTCCCTAATGCAAATTCCTTCTTCTTCTTTGCATATAGTTTTTTTTTGTTCTCTCAGTCTTATCTTGTTTACCTCTCTACTCATTGCCTGACAGAAGAGCAGTGTACATGCACACTGAGAGCCACTGTCAAACTGCTCGTGTTCAACTGTGTGCAGTCAGTTAAAACACAGCTCATTACCAAAGCTGACAGGCACATTGCTGTCCACAGCAACGGGAGCCCTCATTCTCAGACCAGTAAAATCAGTCAGCCTGGAATAAAAAACGTTTTACATTTCTCTGTACTTAATCCTATTTTCAACCTTTAATTTCTATTTTTTAAAAGTGATTTCCTAGAGATTATAATTTGTATTACATTAACACAACATGCTTGAGATAACGAATTCCAGCTTGTACAGGTTCTGCTAAAATGATACTTATATTAATTTTAAGAGGGTAAATTCTGCACTAGCACCAAAATCTCATTCTCTCCATGACCTGCTACTTAAAAAAAAAAATAAAGAGAGAATAAGGAAAATCCTTGCAGTGCGCTTGCTGACCCAATGAACATATTGACTGTTAAAAGTTTAAAGGAAAGCACACACATGCATAAAGTGAGCACACTAAAAAAAGATAAAATGCAAAGATGGCGGTGAAGACCTACAGCGTCTGGGGGAACCTACTATATATACACAGTGGTGTCTGATAAAGAAAGCATGGTTAACCGTTGAACTCTTCAGAACTCTTCAGAACCTCAATTTCACTAGAAATTGACTTCAGAGGTGCGACACTGACATTTTTTTTTTTACATGCCTCAGTAGTAACAGTCACAACAAGTTGGAAATTTCCTACTGAGTGGGCATGGTTTCCAATAAACTTCATTTCTCTGGAGCCATTTCATACTCGACTAAATTAATATACTGAGTTAGTCACACTGAGTTTGAGTGTGAAGTGAGTGGACTTGATGAACGAACAGTGTATTTTTTGAGGAAGAATGAACAGAATATCAATTCAACTTCAAACATTTCCTGCAACTGTTTACAGGAGGTGAGTGCTCTTAATTATTCATCTGTCTGCCTGTTGTTTCGTCTTGGTGTGGTGGTTTAAAAGATTACTAGTAAATGATCTATCAGCAGGGTTGCATCAGTTCTGAAATTACTTCAATTCCTCATGGGTCACATCAAACATTCAGTTTGTTTGTTGCCTTTTGAAAGTAATTATTGAAAGAAAATGCAGCTGTATAGTGTTAAAGAGAAATATATGTGTTGCTTTAGATTCTTGCACACACACACAGATAGATGATCAAGTGTAATGGAAACTGTAATGAGAAAAATCTGTTCATTAGGGTGCCTTAACGAGACTCAATCAACATGGCTGCTAATGAGTCAGTACTCCATCAGAGAGACGGAGAGCCCGAGTGAGGCCGCAGACAATCAGAACTGAACTGAATTAGACCTACTGTATCAGTCAGTAAATCCACATCCAGTTGTTCTAGACCTCCACTGAGGTGCTAGGTCATTCAGGCACAGGGTTCAACCTAGTAAACAGCAACAACTGACAGCAGCCTGAAGTCAATGTAGGCCAACAGAAGACTAAAGTGCATTATGCATAGAAATGCATGTGCAATCCCGCAGTTATCGGCATCTGTCCTAGTGTTATTAGGGCTTTACGGAGCCACGAAACTGATTTTCTTTGGCTCTGGCTACCTGAGTGTTCTATAATCTTCAGACTGCTAACAGACAACACAACATGAGAAAGCTACACAGATGTAACCACAGTCAGACAAGAAGCTACTGTATGTAGCTGGCGGTGCTCTGTATCACACAATAAACAAAACAGTTGGTGTGGACAATATAATTAAAACAGGATATGGCCTCAACATGTAGGACACATCAGTGTGGTAGTGGCAACTTTCAGGGCGGTGAAGTTCTCCTTTTTAAACAAACCAAAACAAAAAAAGAAACAAGGCTGGCATGTTTCATGCATAGGATGAGGAAGAATTGTGGGTAAAGTTGTGCAAACAGTTGATACTTTATTTGGGGATCTGGACCAAGACAAATGTCTGTTTTGGGATGACACCTCATCACAGCAGCATATACAAATATATAAAGAATCTAATAAGTGCCATTATATTATACACAAGGCCTTTTCAGCTTCCTGTATTATTTAATATTTTTCAGTATATTCAACATCATGTTGATCATGGTAGGAGAAAATGTGATGTTTGCTCACCAACAGGACAACTGCTTACTGATACTACTGTTGCTGTCAATGTAGTTTGAGTTTTGAATATCTTTGCCTCTCCTAAAGTTGTTTAAGTACGACAATAGAAGAACACATGATATTAGACCAGCTTCCTGTGCCATGTACAACAGGAGATAAAAACCTGTACGGTTGCACTGACTAATGTAATGATATTATGACTATAGGATACTAAACTTTCAAGGCTATGATGGTAAATCTGACAAGTGAGAACTCCTTGCTCACATTTAAATTGCAAGCTCACACTGAAACAGCTGCATATTTTCTCACATTTACACAACACTCTCTCTTCACAAAATATATCTACATACATCATTTGGTGGGGATTTGGAACACAGCTGACACTAAGTTTTTTTTCCCATAAAATAAGTCACATAAACGTGGGACTCATTATACTTACATTTAAGACCAATACAGTAGAGGACCTCTTGGTGCATTACTCAGTCTGAGGAAAAAACATGAGTCAACGCCTCTATTGACTCGGGTTTTATCGCCAGTGGCCACGTTTTAATACAATACCTGAAAGGAGGTATTAGTGCTTTTAATACATCGGACAAAATTTCTCCCAGTGATATGCTGGTGTGAACACAGTCCTCAGAAAAAAAGATAACAGAAACTGCTCTTTCATTTCCATAATTCTGAACCGTCACTGAGACACTGCAGTTCAGTAGAGCGATGCTGCTTGAAAACAGATTTTATACGTCAACTACTTAAACACATCATTAATAACAGCTCTGTATGTGCAAACAAAAGTTAAGAGTTGTGTCAATTTATACAACTATTTGTTATTTTGCTTCATCTATGCTGAAAGTGCAAAACTGCTACATGTACACATGATGAAGTTCACAAAGTATGTACACTATGTCTTGCAGCATTTAAAAAACACTGTTTGATGATCATCTATGATACATTATCCAATTATAAGTTGACATGGTCAGTGAATTAAACTTTATCAAGAACTCGCCCGTGTGAAGATGTGAAGAAACGATAAATAGTCAATTCGGCTGTGTTAATGTGGAATATTAATCCAGTCTAATTAGCATTGCCAAGAAAGCAGAGAACATGGTAGAACACCTCTCTGTCTTAAGGGCCCTCTTTTTTTCTTACTTACAAAGCAATTAATGAGTCAGTACATCTTTAATTAGAAAGTCCTTTTTTAATTTGACATACTACCCCACAATCAACTGCTAACTCAAATTACAGTTTAATTATTGTATCGTACACACACGTGTACACAGGCTTGTCTTTCAGTGTGTCCCTTTCTGTGTGACTGGTCAGTGTGTGCGTGTGTGTGTGTGTAAGAGAGAGAGGGAGGTGATGACTTGTTGCAGGTGTGATTGGCAGGTGGTGCCGGCATAATAACAGACAGTCAGGCCCACAATCTCAGAGGAGCAGTTTCCTTCTGCAGCTGCCTGACCTCCAGACAGACTAGACATCCAGAGCCTCAGGACACAGCGAGCAAATCAAAAACAACAAAGACTGAACTAAGCTGCTTTTTCCCCCTATACCGCCACCAAATAATAGAATTATGCAACACTTCCCATCACAGGTATTAGATGTTGGCAGAGGAAGGGTAAGAGGAATCTCAAGGTAAGAAATCTAGCTGTTGTATCAAAGCTCCTCTGAGTGAAGGCTACAGACTCTTGCATTTAGAATTTGACTTAGCTGTGGGCAAAATGGTGAGGATTTGACACCACAGAGTAATCCTGCTGCTGGGGTGCACAACATGTGAGGTAGCTGCTGTCCATACCTGGAGGCAGACTGGCTCTCTTCCTTTTCTTGCTCGTGTCAGCAGTGGTTTCCAGAGGCGGACACTCAGTCACCAGAGGCCCGCTGGAACTGCTGAACTGGAGACAGTCGTTGCTGGCTGCTGGATCAAAGGGCAAAGTGTTGAGTCCTGGAAAACAAAGACAACACAGAAAGGCACATTACATTGAATGAAGCAACAGCTCCTGGTAAAAGGAGAGATATAAAAAAAAATAAAAAAAAGAAACATGAGCCTCCAGCTGCACTATGCTTTTAATGTTGGATCCTGAAGACTAAGTAACTGAAGACATTCTCAACATTATTATCAATGACACAAATGGCGGAGGCGCTGCTGCACCCACACAAGCAATAATCAGGATTTAATACAATGAAATTCAAATAAAAGAAATTTGGTTGCAGAAGATCATGTGATATGATGGAAAACCCCACAACACGTTTCAACTGACATTCTACTGTGAGCACCTAAATATGAATATAACGGGCAGTTTACATAATTTGTCATCTAGTTACTTGATCTGCAGTAATAAGATAATATATATCAAATGATCATTAGGTACAGCCTTATTACAGAGATGGTCTGTTTCTGTATGCATTTTATTTGAATCTCTGGAGATGATCAATACCAGGACCTACCAGATGTTCAAATAAATAGAGAAAATTACATTTTTACTCTGCAAAAGGGCTTTTTTTTGTTCTGATCCCAGGCATAGAAGAGTCATAATGATACACTAGTTTGCCGACTTCTCAATCAATAAGTTGTTTATGCACAAACAGACCAGATGACAGATGTAGGCCTACCGTTTCCTCATCTTAAAATCAACACCAAGTGTAAAAAGGTGAAAAAACAAGAAAACTAGTTCTGTGACTTAAGAAAACTTCATCCTCAGAAATACGGTGTAATGAAGCCGGTTTATCAGACAGCTCAGTGGAGGCAAGATTGTCTTTAATACTTTTTATGTTGCCCATTGTTATTTTACAACAACAAAATCAACAGTCATGCCATGAGTAATAGAAACAAAAATAAGGTGGAGACCGCTCCAGAGTCCCAGTAAATGGTAAACAACTTAACTTGTGTTTACTTCTTAATGTGTCAGCTATTCTCCACGCTTTAAGAGTTGTGTATTTGTTTATAATTCAGAGCAGGGCTGAGGAGAGACTTGGTCTACATTCATGAAAAATTCATGACATCTCTTTGTGCTCAGATTTGTATTTCCTCCGTGTGCAACAGATCAGGCGCCCTGCATTACTGTGGCTCCATCACAAGTCTAAGAACCCTAATCAGTTAGTGTCAAACTCAGATGGTTCTCAAAGCATCAACTACACAATTATTAAGGATCTTAACTCTTCAAAATCTTTTATTTTGAAAAAAAAAAAAACACATTTAACACTGCAATTTGAGAGTAATATTTCCTTGAAGATGTGCATTTTAATGCTGCATTTTCTCGTTTCCATTTAAGACTGGATCCAAAAAGATTATGGATTTGTGTCTTCACCTTTCATGAAACCAGCCATTTAACAGCAAGATGGATCAGTAGCTTAACAGAGACTGATAATTCAGACAAAGGAAAAAGATAAAAGGAAGGAAAGTGAGACAGCATAAAATATTTAGTTTCTTCTGCCACAGAATATTACAAAACCATTAAAGTGATGTACAGGAACTACAAATACGGATGTAAAAGCAGTTCTTCTTATACAGACACACTCAGTCTGTCTTTATGTGTCTACAGAAAGAGAACAGAGACAAAGGTCATTCTTACAATCCAGACAACACATCCTGAGAAATAAGGCCTTAAAATATTTTAAACCTGTGTGTGGGACATTTGCTAGGTTTAGGCAAAGGGGGCTGTGGATTCACCGCAGAGTCGGTCTAAATAGATCCGTCTGTGCGTGGGCACAGACACATATCCCTTAAGTCGATTCCTACTCAGCCCCAATCTGTCACGCTTCTTCAAAGATGACCATCAATAGTGTAGAGAGTGAAATGAATCCATTACTTTGCCAATCTAAACTCTGTCACCAATAAACAGCCACAGTGTACATTTCAAGGGGACAACTTTTCAGTCACGACAGGCATGAGAGTTCCCATGAGGAAAGGCCAACAGAGACGACGGAAAGAGTTTAACAGCACGGAGCAGCTGACAGGGAAATGCCACTTAAACTCACCAGTTCTGATCTCAGTTCAAGATCAGGGCAAGAAGTTGCTTCTGCCTTACTTTTAGATAAAGCTAAATTTCACAGCCCTTTCTCCAAAACAGAAACAGAATATAACAGGACTTCTCAGCTTTGGTGGAAATTGACCGGTGCAGTAGACAAAGACTGAGTCACGGATCAAAAAAGAGCTTGTTCCACTGAAATGTGCAATGTGACGTCGCACTATATGACCAGCACTGGATTTTTTTATCTTGTGTGACAAGTTGTCCAGCATTATTTGTTCACATAACAGAAGTTTAGTTCTCGGGAGTAGAGCTTCGGAGCAGGCAGTTATGACCCATAGTAGAAATACGGGCTGGTGACAAATTAAAGGAAAAACCTAAATAAATGAGTGGTTTCAGGATGTCAGTGCCCCTGGCCACAGGGCATGAGGGGGTCACTGAATGGTTTGATGAGTAAAAAACTCATGTGAACCATATGCTGTGGCCTTCACAGTCACCAGATCTCAACCCAGTCAAACACATGCGGGACATTTTGAGCTGATGTGTTAGACAGCATCTCCACCACCATCATCAAAACACCAAATGAGGGAATATCTTTTGGAATAGGAGTGTTCATCCGTCCAGTAGAGTCCAGAAACTTGGGAGAGACAATGCCAAGGTGCACAGAAGCTGTTCTGGCAGCCCAGCACCTTACTAAGACACTTTATGTTGGGTTTTCCTTTAATTTGCCATCCATCTGTATATGCCGATTTAATAATGCAAGGCAGGAACAGAGCTTACTGAAACCCAAGTAAGTGTGTGTGTGTGTGAGTATAAACCCCTATATGAAGAACGTCTTTACTGGGCCATTGCCCCTGTCTGCTGTACTGTCGGCTGATGGATGGCGTGTTGAAGTTTCAACATCTGGCCAGAGGGAGGAGTGAAGCCAGTATCACTCCACAGAGGGAGGAGAAAAACAAATACCAGGAGGCCGGGTGGAGACGGGCAGAGGCGGTGTGCAGAGGGGCTGCAGGGTAAATGAAAATGCTGAACGGAAAGACAAACTTTATGCTCAGTGGCCTCAGAGTAGAATACAAGAAACTTAACAAATGAAACTGACCTGATCTTACATCAAGATGCATTACCAACATGCCCCATTAATGGTATAGTGAGCCAGGAAAAGACAGGGCTATTAGGATACACAATAAAGTCAGTGGGTCATTAAAACACCATTTAGCTGCCTACTAGTGCATCTACACAACTGAGAATCTGGGGAGGATGTGTGCTGAAAATCATTCCATTATGAAGACAGGTCACGATCAGTAACCAAATCTACGAGGTAGGCCTGAACAATTACACTTTAATTTGTCCAGTCACACAAATGGCCTAATAATACACACCTCATGAATGATCCTGCACTCTGAGTATAAATATGAATTGTCTGATGTAAAAGAGAAGCTGACAGCCATAAATTTTACTACATCTCAGATTAAACTGTTAATTACTTGTTTAAATGACTAACAGGAGATGAATCTGAAACTAGATAAAAGAAGTGATTTGAAAACATAAGTACTACTTTTTGTGTGTAATACAATCCGAAACTAAAACTTCCCAGACTATGACAAGGCGCATAAGGTGTCTAACACAGTGCCTCGGTTCAGTAGTAAGTCACCAGTAGTCCTCTCTACCACTGGAAACAGTCTGAGCCTCTTATGCTAATAATCACGTTTGCTGCAGCAGAGAATCAAGAAATATGCGAATCATTAAATAATGAGTTCATAATTTGTTTTTTAAAATGACTTAAAGACACAGCGACAGGTCTGAGGATCAAACCTGCGATCTTTCTGGCATAGATAAGAGATTTAACCAGCATGACAATGAGCTGAAATTATTCTCTTACTAACTAACACCTTTGTATAATTCTCCTCTAGTTCCTAATAGAACTTTTATAAGCTAATACACCAAATGGTATAGTATGAATAATGCAGAGCTCTAGGAAATGTGCATCAGCACTACACTGCAAGAGGAAGTGCTTAAGTGGGGGGGATGGCCTAAGCAGTGGACAATTAATCTAAGCACTGAGAAACATACAAAGGCCATGTAGACCACAGCGCGCTCATTCATCTGAACAAGGCGAAGGACTACATTAACGTATCCCCGACCTCTGAAGCAAGTTTGCTTTTCTGACTGTTCCACATCATTACTAAACCTTAAATGCCTCTGAATTCTTCTAATTTGTACTGCCACATTAACAAAACCTGAAGAGGATCAACCTTTGTTATGAAACAGAAAACAAGTCTTAAAGTAGTATTATGTACATGACTAAAGAACATCCTTCAAGTTATGGATTTGTAATGAAACTAACTAGGAAAAGTCTACTTAAAAATCTATTTAAAATGCAGCAATTAGAGTCTTGTGTCGGTCAGCAGCTAAAGGAAGTTGTTAAAGAGCAACTAAAGCATAAAAGTTACAAATTTATCTACTTCATATGGTCAAAAGAGAGAACACGCACCACTATATACACACAGGAAAACAGCTTTACACGGCATTGGGTTTGCAAGGTCCTGATCTCACATTTGGATGTACATGCCTAAATAAATACTGGTATAGGAAAAACAATTCGCTGAGGTGAGAGAGCTGGGAGTAACAATTCCCAGAGCCATTGTGCCATTACAAACATGAGGCCAACAGTGCCTTTTTTTTTTTTTTTTTTTTTACTTTCTGTAGACTTCAAACCAGTGATTAGTGACAGTAGCACAGAGAACCAACTAACAAATGTGGACAGGTAATACAGTGGGAACAGACAAATTGAATCTGAATGGTAACACCATTAAAACCAGGCAAACCAGCCTTCTGTGAGAGGAAACCATTCATCAAGAGAGTCTGAGGTAACACTTTGTACCCGACTTCTTCAAACAGCTTTCTTTTGTCCAAACAAGTCTAAACTATTATGGTTATATATTCAACTTATATAAAAAACAGACAACTCATAAATCTT